TATTCTCTTAACACTAAATATATCGAATTATTGTGGCATAAAATCACATTGAGGTGGGGGACTGGTAGTTTCTTTAAATCAGGGGACAAGGATGTGAAGAATATAACATTTGTGATTGACATGTGAAGCAAATGGCAATAATTTGACGGAGAAATGAGGAAAATGTTCATCAAAGAAGCTCATGTTTTGACACATCTTTTAGAAATGGACAGTTAATGAAGTAACTTCATTTTATGTTTACATGTAAAATGCAGGACATGATTTTCGGGTTCCATCGGCTCTTTACTTCCTCAGTATCTGTAATATTGCAGTATTTTTTCCCACGTACTAAGAGCATCCTGTATTCAGTACCACAGTAAAAAAAATAATAAAAAGAGCCTTAATTGTGAGAATCTTCACATTCGTTTTCACATCAGATCTTGTTAAGAATTGTCAGATGAATCTACGGCCTCACACTCCACCTAACAAGGCCAATCTAAGGTACAAATTCTACACTGCTTTTACTACCATTCTTGCGTCAAATTCCCTCTGTGATATTTTAGCGCGTGATTTTCCATGAAGCGCGTCCTCGCCCCCCTCCCCCTGACTAGGTGCCACACCTCTTTGATGATGATCTTGCCGTTCTGGTGAATGGTATGGTTGTTAACCATGCTGACTATGGCCACGCCCAGGTTGCAGCGGATACCGAAGGAGATGCAGAAGCCCAGGCCACTCAACATCGCGATGATGTAGCGACGCGGCAGACCGAAGCAGCTGCAATCGAAAATTGGGGGCTTCTTCTCCGCGGCCTCCCGGGGCCGCCCGTCCTCCGTCAGCCCGATCACATCACCGCTTTCTTCTTCCTCTCCATCACCCTGGAAAAACCGGTGTGGCATTAGTGTCTTAACTATAGGTTTCAACAACAACAGATGCCATCACATGGATGATGTTGCTACAGCACTGCAATATTTTTTGTATTTTCTTCAGAAGGAGGCCCCTTTTTTTCTTTTTATACATAAAATATACATTCTCCGTCATTAAAATTCTTTGAGGAGAAGTAAATATATCAGGGGGAAAAAGCAAATGGAACACTACAAAACACATGAGATAAAACTAAAATAAAATATTTCAGCTGGCTAAAAAGACTGATGACAAGAGCCTGAAAAGATGGAATTCCCTTTAAGGATATTTTATATATCTATACAATGTTATTTGTCATTGTTGGTGTGTTATCACAATCCATTATTGTGTGTGAAAATTACACCTGGTGTAATGTTACAATCTTAACCCAAAGTTGTGTGTGTGTGTGTGTGTGTTGAGGCCTGTGTTGTTTTCACACAAAGACAGTCACATCCATGGTGATGACCAAGAGGATTCAAGGAGACACCTTCACCAGCAGTAGATCAATACAATAAAATGTTGTATGAGAAAACACACAAACACACAAACGAGAAACCATGGCCTGATGCTCAGCCCGTCTCTGTCTTGTACCGCATTGCAGCAGCCCGCTCACTTTTCTCACTGATTAGCATTCAAGAGGCCGAGCAGAGGATCCATGCAGCCTCCAGACACACCAGTCTGTGGGCATTCCTCAAAGTCCTACTCTCTGCACCCCCTCCTCACCCGCTCCCCCCCAGCCCTCATCAGGAGTCACATTTATTCCATACACCCCCTCTCTCCCCCTCCCCGTGCCCATGCAAAACCACAAAAATCGAAATATTTAAATGAGCTCGGATGTCTGTAGACAGATGTTGGACTCTGAAGATTCAAAGATGCGAGAAAAAGATCGAACGAATGTAGTACAGATGTGAAATGGTAGGAAAATACTAAGGCCTGGTTTCGAACTTACGTCGAATGTGACGCAAAAAAACAGCTATCGAGGCAGAATCTCAGTCATCAAATAATTGGCAGGGTGTTCCGCAGCTTAAAAAAATGATATGATGATAGGCTCTAAATATAACCATTTAAAATGGATTACAGATTAATAAAAAAAAACACGATGTTATCCATAAAAAAGAACAGAATCTCAAACAAGAAGTAATACAGAATAGTTGTAGTATTATTGTGTGCAACGAAGGCCTGTGGAAATGTTGTGAAAATGTTAAATAATCATTTTAAACAAAACCAAACACACAACAGGACAGGATGCGGGTCCATTCAAACCTTTTGCTAACAGCCTCTCACGCGCTGATGTTACACACGCTCGCGCGTTCACGTACACGCGTTCACACACATACACACTCTTGATTACATAATTTGCTTCTCACTTCCAGAGGCGTGACAACCGACCATGATATTTGTAAAGCAGTGGTCTCTACACATCATCGTGGCTCGAGCCCGGTTGAAATACATGGAGTGATACAAAGGATCGAATCAAATATTAATCACGCGCACACGCGCACACGCGCACACGCTCCAAAGGTGTAAGAAGCTGCGTTTCCTTACCTGTACACATGACCCAGGGTCTTCCCCGCAAATTCCTTCATCCCCACCTTGACTGACTCCATGTCCACTGTCTGTTCGTAGGCCTCGGTTCTTGACTAAATGATCTTTAATGCTTCGTCGTCATGTTACGGCGCAGGACGGCCGGCCACAGCGGCAACGAGGAAAACAACAAGTTATAATAAGGATGGGTCTCAGGCGACGACGACCCAGCGGCAGGCAACCTAAACTACAGCAATGTAAATAAAGCAGGTGGAGGTGAAAAATAAAATTCAAAGAAGCTGAGCTCCTTTCTTCGCCACGGATTCGTCTCCTGCGCGGCGACGCACAGCAGCCGCACCGAGTGCCATCACGAGGAGAGAACCAAAGGTGGAGTGGGAGTGGGAGTGGGAGTCAGCGCGGTCGAGCGATAAGGATCAGCGCCCGCAACCAAAGCGGGGAAAAGAAAAGGGAGAGACAGGGAGGGAGGGAGAGAGATGGAGAGGCAGGAGAGATCGAAAAATCTGAAAGTTTCGAAAAGCGGACCAGAAGGATTGAAGTAGATGACTGATCGAATACTGGGAGCACGGCTGTGTGCGTGTGCGTGTGTGTGTGTACGTGCGTGAGTGTGCGTGCGAGTGTGGGTGGGAGGGCGTGTGTTTCCTGTGATGAGTGGGAGCAGGTTCATTGACGCGTTCAGCACCAAGGACAGCGACGATAGTTCTTTCTTTCTCTATCTATCTATCTATCTATCTATCTATTTATATCAGGACATTTATTTGTCAAAAATGTCTGCCTAATAAAAATCATTTTCTCTGACCACCGTGTCATTTTTGTCTTTTTATTCCTACTGTGCTCATAGTCAACAGATCACTGTAACCCCACATACTGTATGGAAGTCTGCTGCCGCTGCTCTCCCGAGGGCGGTGCTATGGAAACCAAACCAGCAGCAGCAGTGGGTTCCCCCACTAACACCCCCACACACTGCGCCCAGCCTCAGCATAGGCTCCTCTGCTCAGCTTCATCAATAATTCAAGTATCTCCTTATTTCCATCTCTTCGACAACCACATCTTATCACACAGGTACGAGCAGGAAGATTCCGGGTTGCCACCTGATCAATTCGACTCATATCTTATTGTTATTACTGTATAACATTCAAAAAATCATCAATCCAAATTATACTTAATTGTTTCGTCTAACGTGACTCTAGACTTGAAACAAAATGACGATAGAACAGGAACAGAAATAGAATTGTTAGAACAGTAATAAAGGTATTTTATTTATTTTTAGAGAGCGTTAATAGAGCATAATCCAGGAGACAGAGTACAGCGCTTCGTGCGTCCCTTCCTATTTGTGGTTATTGGCTGCCACCTGGCGGCCATCTCACATAAAATAAAAATGTAATAAATCTTGAGGCTATAGTTCTTTTTGTTGTTGTACTTGTTGTTGTTGTTGGTTTTTTTTACCTTGCTTTGCATTTATCTTTCCCTTCATAAAGACTGTTCAACAAATCTTGCTTTGCATTTATCTTTCCCTTCATTCAACAAACTTAATTAATATACAAATAAATGTGGAGGTCAGTGTGTACTTACATAGTGTTTTTCTATTACTGATTCATTCAAGGTCTACAAGTTTTCCTATCAACCTGAGGGTCACAGACAATCTACAGACCCAAAAACCAGTCCTGCAAATAACCACTCATACGCTCACCGCCTCCTGTTTAAAGTTGGATTTAACCTCCCATGATTTCCAGCTCTATATGCACTGCAGAGATTTACCAGGTCTGTATCCCAGTGGGGCAATGTTCTTGCATCACCTTTGTTTCTCTTTCTATTCCAGGGAGAGGCACCGTCTCTGGACAGAGACAGTTTAAAGACAGTAAATAAATATCTTAAATATCTTTTGAAAACCCTCTGCTTTAGGGTCCAAACAAATCCAGAAGTAGGTTAGTTTTCTCTTAAGAATTGTCTTTAAAATTCCCAATTAAAATCCTAACTACATTTATTTGTCTTTTGAACATTGTCTGATTATTGTACTGATCCTTGGATGTTGCTTTAATGCATAAAGTGTTGCTGTTTAACCGTAATGATTTTAAATGAAACAACCCTAACCCTATATGTTCCTATGAGGACAGTGCATCTATAGCAGGGGTGTCCACTCTTTTGGGCCTGGGATCAAATCACCAGTTTAGGGCTATATATTTATTAATTTAAAGCTGTTTATATGTTTATATGTTGGGGTGCTTTGATTAAATGGCTGTAGTTGAAGGGCTCAATACTGACATGGTGTTACCTTAGCCATAGCGATTAGCATCTAGATATAGAATCACATCTATAAATGTATTAATGTTTTATTTAGTTGCTCGTGATCTATCAACACTCCCTGTTCACTTTTTTTTAATGATAAATAATGGATGAATATAAAGGTCCATTATCAGGGGCCAAACAAATCTAGGTTTGTAAATATATCTAGTATGCTAAAAACATTAGATCACCTGATATATAAAATATTAGAATATGTATTAAATACAATAAATTAAATTTTCTAAGGATTCATATTTTTATGCTCAACTATATGTGCAAACGCTCACACGCAAACACCCACTCATCATTTATTTATTGTATTACCTGTTGAACAGAAGGTTACAGTAAATTCAGGGAGTGACTGTAACTTCTTTTTTTTGCAAAGACCATTAGCAGCAACCGTTAAAGTCAAATAACCTTAAAGCACACGTACTGTAGGAAATGCTGTTAGTTAGAAAACAATACCAAACAGGTAAACAAGGACGTTTAAGGCATTTGTTTGTCTGACATCAGAAAAACAAGAAGCATCTTTCAGGGTCACGCATCGGCCGCTCACTCCCATCTGGAACACGTAGCCTGTAAAAAGATTGACACATATTTAAAGGTATTTGAACCGGAGCATTTTGTCAAATGTTGTTTTTGACTTGTTAAATATACCGGGATCACAATGGCTTTGACTGAGTGTCAACAGGAATACAAAGGCTATTTTATACTGAAACACATCATGTTAAAATCAGAAAGGATATTTTTTGTTATGTTTGGTCCCTTGATAAAGAAGTTATTAGTGGGACAAAAGCTCTTCCAGAAACTTCTATCAACCAACACAATGTTCCAGTGTTGTGAGAAACAGTATGAAACTGACTTTGTAAACTAAAACCTCAAGGTAATAAACGAGACGAGAAAAAACAAGACAAGAAATCAACAAATTATCAGGAAAAATATTCAGAAAAGGTTGTTTTTCTTAACACTCAATAGTCCAGCTAGAGAGCATTACAGAAGGTTAAAACATTATCCAGGTAGTAGTCTAACACGTCATCGGCCCAGAGTTATTGTTTGGCGTTGAATGGATTTTGAATTTGTCACAGCGATCTTCAGATATCGCCCAGTGTTCAGCGTTCTTTCTGTTTCCTGCTTGTGTTTAGTTCAAGTCCAATAATTGGTCCTGGAATGACATGAGAGCTGGCCCACGGCGTCTGCTGCAGAGATCTGTGTGGTCAAGTGGAGGTAATTGTTTTTCAAATGCACAGTTTTAATAACTAAACATATACACTATGATGTAGCAAAAAAAATAGGAAACGTCAATAACTTACATTTATGTAGCTTATTTAGATCGATAAACGCAACACAAAGAAAAATACGAGGATTACTGAGGAGTGCTAGCTGTTATGTCCTATTTTTTTTTTTATCATTTAAAGATATACATTTCCAGTCACGTTTACATTTTAGCACTAGCACACATTCCCACCGAAGCAGTTCAAGTCCTTCACCTTCTCTTGGAGGAACAAATAGGAATCACATGCATAAAAGAACATATTAACAATGAACACACAGCTCCACAGGCTCGTACAGTCGCTCGGTCATAGACAACGTTCGGCTTAATCCTCTTTTAAACGCATTTCATGGCATTTAAATATGGTCTTTTACAGACAAAGACATAAGCCCCTGCGCACAGTTCCTTTCACAAACAGCATATCGCCGACCCACACTGGTCCACATTTGGCTTCGTTAGTTTAAGGAGTGGACCAAGCTGCTACAAATCCACAGACAACTCCTCCTTCCTGTCCGAGGTCAAGGACATCTCTGACCGAGGCTCTGTGACGAAACTGGCACTCAGCTGCATCCTCAGCTCCTTAACCTCGTACTCATGTAGATACTCCTGGATTACGTAGCGTTCCCGCTTGATACGGGCTGTCACATCTGACGGGACGTCCGGGATCATCCACGCCACGAAGAACTTCACCACAAACACCACGTGCTGCAGGAAAGAACACGTGAAAAAAATGGTTTCGTAATCTGATGTTGCGCGTTGATACTTACAGTATCAATGCAGTAATGCAGACATGAAAGGGTCTTACTTCCATGATAATAATGAAGGCCATTTTAGCTGCCAGAATGTGCCAGAACTGCATGGTTTGCTTGTACTCCCGCTCATGTCCCGGAGGATAACGGTAGTCACGGTATCTGTGAAAACAACAGAGGTCGTAGTCCTAATATTGAACATGAATGTGTCATGTGTCAGACCATTAATGTAAAACAATCAAATTAGCCGAAAAATGAAAAGTAACTGATTGGAAAAAACATCTACAATTTAAATTCAATTATGAGAAAAATGATCCCTATTTAGTTCTTTCTGTTATACAGGGAAACCTTGAGCTATGCCGTTTTTAAAGTTACGTTATCACTCCCCATAAAGTTATTAAGAAAGTCTTGGTGCATTATTCCAACTTACGACAACATATCTAGTTTCCATAGGAACTAGGACTTTTTTTGGCATTAAGGCGTGAGTCAGGCTCCTCTGATGTTTTTATGTCCTAGATGATGATGTCACCACTGTGTTAGCGTAGCTGAGTGACACAGGTACTGATGGACAGTACGAGAGTTCTGACTTACTGCAAAAAGAGTTACATCACACTGTAGAAATGCAACTCTGATATCAGTGGAGGACCTGCTGTGGTCCTGCACTTTACTTCAACACTACAAAAGCAGCCCCAAACCTTTACAGAGCCTCCCTTATGCATCAAGAGTCAAAACTGTGTCTCTGTGTCTCTTTTTTTACTAATTTGTCACTTATTAATTATCTGTTGGTGTTGATTTTCATGTTTCAGCTGCTTTTTTTGTCTTTTGCTTCTGTAACTAATTCATAAATCCTCCAGTGAAGCATTATTAAATCTTAGTTTTCTCCAGACCTGCAGGTAGAGGTCATGTTTTCAAACCACTGCCCGGGTTCTTCCGGCATGCTGTGTGGATGTATTTCTGAAATGTTGTATACGGACAGGCTGTTGTTGATGTAGCCCATCATGCTGCCTTCTGTACTGTAGGCGTACAGATAGACCATCCGTGGAATCATGTCTGAGGTGAAGGCCATGATAAATGCCTGAAAACAAAGACATAAAATATGAGGTTTGCAAGAACACAGACAAATAAGTTGATGTCAATTCCTTTTTTTTTTACACACATTGGTTACAACTGATAAAATAGCCACTGCATTCAGGATCTCCTGCCACGCTCCGATGTTTCGAGCCTTGGAGGCCACTGGTCTTCTGAACTGGGTGGTGAACTTCCAGGCGTCCACTCTGATCTCCAGGATGTTGTTCAGTAACGCCAGTAGAGGGGCCAGAGGAAAAGAGGCCACAAAGAGAGTGATGAAGCCAAACTGAACCACTGAGGTGACGAAGGAGAGGAAGAAAAAAAGTTAAACAGAGAGTCAAACAAACTGAACAAAGACAGCCGGCTGTGACCTGGAGTTACTTCCTGTCTGAAAATGTGTCATCAGCATCTGAACTCTACTCATCCTCCCTGACAGTGAGTGTTGAATGATCTTACCCATCTCCAGATACTCATAGAACAAGCCCAGCTGGCTAAAGTTCTGCAGGACGTGGTCCTGCTCGCAGCGGCTGTAGTGGTTCTCAGGATGGTGCCGCCCCTTCCTGCGGCTCCACCAGTTACGCATTACCCTGTCGGGGAGAGAAACCATGTGTGAGCCTGGAAGTCATTAAATAATGATAAAGCCAGAGTTTAAACCTAAATAGATCCCGCAAAAGATTTCCAGACGGAAAATAGTTCAATCTCCAGAAGGTTTTTATTTAATGGAAGTGCTTTATTTTAAGGTATGCAGTGGAGTTTGGAAACAGCTGCACTCACTTTTATTGTGTTTCTTTTTTTTTTCTTTTCTCAACTTAGGAGGTTTGGATTTTGGATATGTTACAACTCTGATTTTTTTTTTGTCTGGGTTTCTTGTTTTTCTCTGGGAGAAATTCTTAATACCACTCAGTGCTGTAGTATCCAAATATTATAAAAGCTAAGGTTTAAATCAAAAATTGAAAAAAAATGGTTTGAAAGGTTTTTTTAATATATGAACATAGAACAGAGACAGACTCACGGCAGCAGAGCTTCCTGGATGTTTCCCCACAGCTGTTTTCCTACCATGACAATGACCAGCTGTGTGGTCAGTTCAATCAGACAGCCACCAGGGTCACACTAGGACAAAACCATTGGAAACATGTAAAAACCAGGACATTTTTGGCAAAAATAAGATGTAACACCAATTGGCATATCTTTATGTTCATGATCATGTAATTGTTTTCAGTGTATTTAGAATAAGCTTTTAAAAAAACATGATTGTACAGCAATGAAGAGTGTCATTTGGAACAGTACTGACGACACAAGGAGGAACTTCACACAAATAGAAGGAAAATGGTAACAGTGTGTTCACGTTTTAATATCTTAAATGTCAATAACTTTCAGTGAAACTCTTAGTATTTTAATTGATTTAAATTGTTATATAGAATGAATACAATGTACCCGGTGTCTGCCTGATCTATTTTGGTGCCCATGGCGCCCTCTGGTGTCGCCCACTGTTACAGTATCAATAAGTACGCATTGATAAACACGTGCTATTTAGAAAATAAATAATAAATAAAAACAATAAAGGATAAATTATAAAAATAGATGCAAGTTTTCATTCAGGTCTTGAATAAATGTTTTTTTAAGTCTCAACTGCTCTAATAATGTCACTAATAAAAAGCTGTAACAATAAAACAGTGCCATATCATAAATACTATTTTTTTTTTATTCTTGAATTATTTTTTTTTCTTGTTGTTGGGGGCAACAAATTAATACAATCATTTTGTTTATTGTTGAAATTGCTATTTTTACCCCCAAGAGCACTGGCCACTCCAGCAGACCGTCCATCGCCTTTTCCTTTACTCCTTTTCTACCAACACTCTGTCAAAAATAAAGACAGGACGTCTGTGGACGAGTAAACTCACCTCCTCGTTCCTCAGTTTTCTCCATCTACCAAACATGTATTTGTAGTCGCCAGGATAGCCCACGAATTTGCCTTTGAAGAACGCTACGTAAAAGCACGAGGAGTAGTAGTTGACAAACTGGAAGAGGAACATCTTCAGGGTCAGCCTGTTCTCGTACTCCAGGTGGGTCTTTGGGATTTCTGTAGAAAAAAAAAACAAAACAAAGGCGACGCTAGCACCAGCCTCTCTTTCCTTAAGTCCAGAGATTTTTGAAGCGACAACCCCTCTTTACCCATATCTGTGATCCAAATGGCCACCCTCTCGTAGAAGAAATTCAGAATCATGATGATGACAAAGTTGATGCAGGAGGCGGTGACAGACGTGGCCAACTGTGGGGTGATGAACCGACCCACCACCTGGATCCTCCTCATGGGGTCTTTGATGATACTAGCAAACGCAGCATAAACAGCCAGTCTGTATGCAATGACCCCGATAATACAGGCCACGATCAGAGAAATCTGCACAGAAAAAAAAAACAATTAACACTTTTAACCCAAGTTACCATGGCAATACTTTTACCAAAATGAATGGTTTAGAAAAGGCTAAATAAAAGAATAAATCACTGAGCATATAGGACACAGAGTGATGCAAACAAGTAGAAATATAGCAAATCATCTGGGTATCTTTCATTTTATTTGACGTATTATTCCAGATTTTTAAATGTCAAGGACATTAAGTATTTGGATTAAAACATTACATTTAAAATGAAGCTAATTAATTTATGTTAAGGAGGGACACAAATTATATTTTTGAAATATAAATAGAGATATACGGCACTGTGATTCGGGGATAGAGGTAAGTAGTTTTGAAGTGACGAGATAAAAATCTTTGTTGTTTTTGATATTTTGATAAATGCACAAAGGTAAGGAGTTATTTACCCAGAATATAACAGTGGCTGCTGAGAAGCAGAAACGAGCACATTTGCTGGTCATGGGGAGGTAAGGTTCCATTTCCTGAAACGATTGATCACAGTTATTATCAGTTGTCCAAATATTGTGGCGTTAAATATTTGGTTAGTTTAGAAAAGTTACTTTTCAAGGCACCTGGGTGACTTTGTTGAATCTCCGGTTGGTGCAGCTGATCTCGAACTCTGGTCTGATCTGCAGCTGCTGCTGCACCTCCTCAAAATCCACCAGGTCCCACTCGTACTCCAGTCGGGCCTGACGCCGCTTCCAGAACTCCAGGAACAGAGTAACTGTCAGACAGGTTAACAGAAAATACACTAAGTGGAATTGTACTCACATTATATCAGAATGATAATGCTTTTTTATTTTCATCTGCTGCATGACTAGTTTTTAACACTCTTGGCTCTCGTAGTATCCGACATGCTAGCTAACAATATGGGCATAATGACATAGCTGCCCTGGCTTGTTAGCACACTAAGTCTCCTTTAGAGTCAGCCATGTGAAAAGACCTTAATGGAGAGGGAGGGAAAGCGAGAAGGAGGGAAGGAAGAGAGTAGAGCAGACAGACACTTACCCCAAATCCCCATAAATATGGCAAAGAACACTGTTCCCTCATTATCAAACAGATGGGATTGCTGAGGGAGAAAATATGGAAAAGGTTAAGTGTAAAAAACACGCTGTGCATCAAACGGAGGACACACTGTTTACTCTGCAGCACACACATTATTAAAGTGTTTCCTTTAACACTGACTTAATGTACGTTGTATCAAAAAAAAACAAAGTTTTATTTCAGCATTACGACACACAGCGGGATGTTAGGCTGAGTTGAAAAGGAAGTATACAAAAAAAAGTAAATCACTTTACCCAGGATGACAGACAGGTCGAGTTGAGCTTCCAGAAAGGACATTTTTTATCACAGAGTGGACACATGAGAATGGTGCCCCCGATGGTGTCGTTGCATATTTCTTTGCTAACACAAAGAGAAAAGACAGAGGTGAATTAAAGGTCACTTAAATAAATCAAAATGCAGATGTTTACGTTCATGTCAAACCATCTTTGAGGTTATCCTCTTATCTTTCGTGGAGATTAGTGTGTTATGGTTTACGATTGCAGATTATTGTTATTGAATTAATACAGAAACTATTTAATTCCTTTTTCATATAACTATCTTGGATTTTGTGGCCACAATTTTTGACTCTATTTGTACTTACTGGTTTCAAATAAAATCACTGAGTTTGCAACTGTCACCTATTTAGGATAGGTGGGATTGGCCCTAGCTGGCTGACGACCCAGAACAAATTGTAGATAATGGATGTGGCTTTAAAAGAAGCTGAGGCGACTTAGATATATACTAAATAATCCAATATTTTTATGAGTTTAAAATCCGACCCGTTTCAAAGTCCTGTCACCTTCTGCTGCCTAGTACAATCATTATTTCTGAAAATGTTCAACTTGTTACACAAAGGAAACATGACTAAGACACTTTGTTACCTGCTCCCTGGTGCCCCCTGCTGGTACTAACCTCGATATGTTGTCATCGTAACTAAGCACTCCGTAGGTGAAACATATCACACCCATCACAGCTGCGAAGAACAGCATCTCTGTGTAGAAGCCCAACCAGGCGAAGTAGATCCCAATCTTTTCTCCGTAGTACTTCCTGCAGAGAACGGTCAGTTCTTGTAACGTTCACATTTCGCTGTGGTTCATTATCAGCCGTGTGATAATGTTGGTTCATTACCTGATGAGATTCAGAGGCTGCTCTTTGTAAAAGCACAGAAACCTGGCCCAGTTTGAATACAAGTCATAGCGCTCACTCTCACATTTAGAGTCCCGTGCCCTTTTCCAGTATCGACACTGATGGGAAAAGAAGTCAGCGGGATGAGAAGAGCGCTGTCGACTTGTTACATCCAGAATTACAGCACATTCACGTTGTTGTTATGAACAGAAAAGTCAAGGCATGTCAAGGCATGGTTTACTTTTAAATCAAAATGATCAAGTCTGTTTGATTCTGGAACCAAAGTCTCATTTTAAAGCCATTTTTGTACCAAAAATATAAGCTGGTAAAAACTAGAGAGTAGTAGTCTTACATCGTGAAGAGGAAAAGCTGCTGTGTACGTCCCATTGCTGAGTAAACGCTTAATTCCAGTTTTGTCCTTTTCTATTTGCCCCTCTTTGTAGTACGGACATCGGGCCAGGATGTAGAAGACCTGCAGCAATAATGGACAAAACAGTAACTTAGTGGAGTAAAAACAAGTGACAACATTCACTTTTCACATTTCTGCCAGAGTATGTTGCATTTGTTTAATTTATGTCTAACAAATACAACTACAGTGTCAATGGATACACAGGAAACAAAGGCTGAAATATATTGGTCAATCCCAGAGTTAAGATTTATTGTATTTACAGAAGCTGTGCCAACTTTCCTGGAATCTGGGTTTGAAATTAATTTTGGCAAATATTTGCATAGGGCTGTGTTATTCAACCTTGGGATCGCAACTCCACATGGAGTCACCTGGGATTAAAACGGGGTCACCAGAAATGTCAAGTAATTTATTTGGAAAAAATTGATTTTTTTAATAATATTTTTTTCAACTAATTAATATTGTCTTTAATATTATAAGTAAAATAAAAAATAAAAATACCATATGCAGTCTTTAACAACATAAACAACATTTTTTTCACTTTCATGAGTATTAATTGAGTTCAAATAAAATACAGCAGATAAAAAATCTTGATTGACGGCTGTGATTAATTTTTTTTTTTTTTTTTACTAAAAATCTTTCTAGAGTCGCCAAACATTAGTGATATCAAAATAGGGTGAAAAAAAACAAAAAACGGTGCCACTCTGGTTAGTAACCCATTCATTAACACATGGTCAAACTCTACCAAACACTGGTTAAATACTCACAATCCTGTTTCTTGTCGATGGCGGGAAGAATGACTCTTTGTCACTGAAAAAGTTGATCTTGCTTTTGTCAAAGGGGTAGGTGAAGTAGTCTGGTCTGGGGTGCATGATGTGATGTGGGAGACGGAAAGGACGAGTGAGCCACTCCAGTGGGACATCCTGACTATGTGGGATGTCGCTCTTCTTGAAAGGAACTTTAATCTTTAACACATCAGCATAGTGGGCCAGGACGTCCCACGGAGCATGGATTTTCAGGAAATACGTCTTCTGATCTTTAGACTCCTGTTGAAAAATGAAAAAAATAATTGGTTACAGTTATTTTAATTACACCGTTTGAGGAATGTTTACAGTCAAGCGTGAGAGTTTTACAGGGATGAAGTCGAACCATCCCTTTAAGATAATTCTGGAATTAATTACGCGCCTGCACAGACTAGCCACTAGGGGGTGTCAGTACCCTTTAGTTGAGTTTCTTACACTTTTGTCGTCAGTCTCGAGTTGCAGGCCGATTTTCTCCAGGTTAGCCTCAAACTCCTTGCGTCTCTCCTGTGAAGGCACACAAATAAAGGAGAGAATCCGTTTTTTTGTTACTCTCCATGTTATAAAAGACGCTGAAGGAAAGTTAAAATACTTTGTCAAACTGTATAAGAACACGTCATGAGTCAGAACAGGACAAGTCATAACAAAGACCGCTTCTCATATACAGAACTGGTACATTACATTCTCTTCACTTCTGTTGAACCCTCCTTTTACCCTTTTACCCTCACATTTTCAAAGATCCTTTTTCTTGAGATTTAAATGGCTGGGGTCAAACTGACTCCAAGGATCCTTTTAAATCTCAAGAAAAAGGATTATAATTCAAAATATTACCCACATTTTTGTGTCAGGTACTTAAGGTTTCTTTGTTGTTAACACAAAAAGCTCTTCCAATATAACAGCCACCCCCCCCACACACACACACACACACACACCCTCCAGGTACCCAAAACACCTAATCCTTGACTATATGAAAATAGGAAAATAGCCATAAAATCTCAGTGATTGATCTAAAACTGGAAACAAAGATATTGTTGCTACTTCAGTACCTTCATATCATCTTTCATTAAAGATTTTTATCAGTCATTTATAACATGGTAAAAGAGAGGCAACTTTGGTTATCAATCATACTTACATCATATCCTCCAGGTCAAATTGACCCCAGAAAAAAAAAACCAGACACAATTTCAAAAATTAAGATTTTTTTTAAATATTTACTTTTAAACTTTAAAACATTTACTTATAACATCATCATATTTGGTAGCTAGAGTACAGTGAAACTATTCCTAAAAGGTCAATAGAACGTTAGAAACTTAAATAAATCAGAACAGCATGTCTTTCAATAGACTCCTGTTGCCTCGCCCTTTGACCTGGAAAGCCCTGCTAAAATGAGCATACCAATGGAGGCTTCCAAAAAGGGTGTCATCAATGTGTCCCCATATACACACACTTCCCCTACAAATTGGTCATGTCCAGTATGTGCTGGACTCAAATGAGCTCAAATGTTGTTTTTATATATATATTTTATATATTATATATATATGCGGGAAATATCAAAGTTCAAAGTGGTTCCCCTTATTTAATTAGCAACAACAACTGTGTACTGTGAGATGTTAAACATTGAATGGGGTCAAATTGAGCCCAAGGTTAATAGGAGGATTAAGGTCTTCTGAGGTCATTCAACACAAACATTTGTTCAACGGAAACAGTACTGCAACATTAGAATGTCCCAAGGAGCTCTGCACTGCAGTCAGTCATCACGGAAATCTTTCGACAACTATCAATTAACAACTGAAGGAGTGCTTGTACAGAGAGAGTGCAACGTACAGCCATCTTGAAGTGTACTGACGGAAGAGAAATGAAACATTAAATGAAAATATATATTGACCACTGCTTCACTTAAATGTTATGGTACACCATTTGATATCCCTTAGTCGTGCATTACGCTGGTGTAACTACAGTTGTCTGACTGAGAGCAGCTGATCGGTACATCAGACTGTCAGACACTTTCCCTTCATCAGGTGTCACCACAGAGACAATAGACATAAAAATAACAGCCAAGTTTAACACAGATGCCCTTCAGATTTTGCATAATACAGAAAATATATTTTTTAAAAAGTTCTGGAACTCTCACTTCCTCTTTTCAGTGCCCCATATTCCTGTTTCAGACATCATGGGTGTAACAATTATAACAGTGGCGTACACTGACCACACTGCTAAAATGCTGCCTGCTCAATAAATGCAGACATCTGTTTTTTTTCTTGCTCTACTCACTTGTTTCTTTTCTCCATCTTTGTCATCGACGTAAGACAAAACAAAGTCTATCCTCCGAACCCCGTCGCTGAAGAAAACGGTGTCTTTGTGTGCCTGAAGTTCGTCTGTCTGAAGAACACACCACAGGAGTAGAATATCAGTTTTAGATATTTATACAGAGTAGGAAGTGAGAGCAAACAAAGACAATATTGTAATATTTGTATAACAGACGTCGTGTGCAGCAGACAGAGAAATGAAAACTGGAAGGTTGTGTTTGGAAAATGATCTTAAAATGTTGGTGACAGGAAGGTGAAGATTGAACCACCATTCATTTCTTCATATATTGTTAGACATCATATTAAGAGATGCTATAATATTTATATTTTTTAATGCCATGGGAATTTTATTCAGGAAAAACAGAATCCATTTGTGCAGCAGAACTGGACAGAACCGTTTTTTTTTTCTTTTTTTTTTTCTTTTTTTACAGTATCTAGTCATGAGACGTTCCCACTTCCCACTTTTAACAAACTACTCCCTCTGTCAGAAACATTTCAGAGACATTTTAGAGGAACAATAAGATGTAAGAAAAATCATCACGATAGAAAAATATAAGCCATGAACAGGGTCTATCAATATGTTAAAATAGTAAAAATAGAAAAATGTAAATACAATTATAGATAAGATAAGATACAACACTTTGTGATCTATGTTATATAAATTTAACTGATCCTTTTTTTATTCATCAGACAACAAAGAAATAGCCAAAGCTAGTATGGT